TATCTCAGTTTCCAAATACAGCAAACCAGGAGCTAGATATACCCGTATGACGGTGGGAGTGTAGGAGTTAGCAGAGCAGATCAAACACTTGACTCTCAGCTACAAATGAACTCTGTGAGGTAACTTTAGAAGTCTTTTATAATTTTGCGCCTCTGAAGTTTAGGCAAATAGGAAACAACAGATAGGGTACAGTGTGTGTGGTGAAGAGATCAAGGAACAGATTCCATTTATTTTAGCTAAGGTATTTCACCAAGGCTCCTGCTCTCTTTGAATTTGACTGGGAGGGTGGAGGAGAGAGCAAACTGGGCAAAAATACTAGTTTTAGGTATCAGGGAAACTGAGGAATAACGCAAGAATCTTACAATGACAGAAATATTATATTTCTCCAATGAGAATAAAGGATTCTGTCTTCATACCAAAGATAGTGGATTGACTCTTTAAGTCAATCACATATTCAGCAAGCCAAACCACTGATGGAAAAACTGAGTGAACACGATGAGATTACATACTCCTTTAGTGACTGACATGTGTAAAGTAGATTGAGGTTTAGCTTGATTATATCTTATAAATCCACTGAGAAAGTATAAAACTGAGTTTGTTGAAGGGCAAAATTCTTTGAAGCATCACATCTCAATAAAGATGATAACAAGGAAAAAGGTGACCAGAAGCCTATATCTGGTTCAGGATTTTCAAACAGAATAATTTTAATATGAATCAAAGTGATAGGAAAAATTGTATATGGGCAATAGATATAATATGACTCAATACCGAAGAATCCAGAGTATAACATATTTCTTCTCTTTCCTGTCCTCCAATATAAACTCCCCTATACTTTGTGAGTCTCCCTTAAGGGAAGAGAGAATAGAGATTCTGAATTCAATATTAAAAACTTTAAAAGTCACTTTATCTCATAATATGGAATTTTCTGAACTGAAGAATGTCATTTAAAACTAACACAAAGATTATACTTATTTGAAAGGGGCAACCATCTTCAAGTAATGGCGTGTTTCATTTTCCATCAAATTCCAAGTGAAAATAAGTTTTATTATGAAGTTTACATTTTTTTGGGTCAAGTTTCAGAGTCACTGCTCAATGACAGTAAAAAAATATCCCAGCTAGAAGGATGGAGCCTATCAAAAAAGTTTCAGTTACTAACATCTGAAAATAAATTATTATTTTAAAAAATTAGCTGCTTCAAATTAAGCTAAGAGCCACCAGACTTAAAATCTAATTTATGAGAAAAATGTATTCTGTTCAGGATCTTTCTACATAGATATTTCCAGTGACCTTTGATGGTCTGTAATTGTGACCTAATGTTTCATAAATTGCTTCTAATGCAAACTGGATGACAACGTGGAAATAGCAGTATCTACTTATGAGTATTGCTCTGGTATTTTTCTAAAAGGCAAGGAAAAAATAAATGGCTACTTATCTCTCTAAAAAGAGTAGATTAGTTACAGCATCATAGAAGTAATACTTAACTGTCAATTGTGGATGCAAGGTACTTGGGTTCTAAGTAGGTTTGAAAAAACTTTCAAAAGAGTAAAATGTGTATGTGAGGATCAAAAGACCCTCTTATGCTCATTTCTAAAAATCTTTTCTCTTAGATTACAGTGTAGTTTAAACAACAAGCCAATACAAGTGAAAAAGCACATTTATTTGATATGGCATCTTTTACATTACATTAAAAAAAGTACAGTACAAAGTACTAGAAGAATTCAAAAATATTCTTTTAAAAGGTTCTCTCTTTCATTAGTCTGCTTGGATGCTTGGTCACTGGCTGGCAGAAAACACAATTCACATTTGTGAACAGCAAAAACTCATTTTCATTCATCTTGGTTCCCTGCCACAAATACTGAAGTCACCACTATACATCATAAATATTTGTGGGACTGAAATTTATTCACATGAATTTAAACAAAAAAATTTTTTGATTATAATACCACTAATTTTAACCTGAGGATTCAAATTTGAAAACAACATACCACCACCAGCATCTGCTAATCATTATGTATGGTTCTCATCCAATTGTGCCACCATACTTAGCAGACTGCTCTGCTGATATGGAAAACTTTCTGATCAAGAGAAGTTGTGGGGGGAGGGGTGTAAGTTGGTCTGATGCAGTCTTCTCAGGTGTCCAGTACTAGACAGACACTTTCTGCATATTCCTTCTGGTCTGCCCCATCTCTTCATAAATGGGTTCAGGTGTATCATGTTCAAGGACTATATCTTTGTAATGTCAGAAGACTAAATATACCCAATGAGAAAATGAAGAGTCAAAACTCCCCAGCAGATAACATTTATCTACATTTGTTAGTCTGTATAAATAATTCAACAAGAAAAAAAAAGATGTTTGGTATACTAATCACCACTTGGTAATTTCTATTAGTTTATCCTCTTAACATTCCAAAGTCTAGTTCAGCAACATATTATTTTATAATCTGCAAATGGAAAAAAATCTCATAGTATGGCATGATACTTGTATTCATTCTATTAGGCAGAAATTTTATTCAATAAAGATAATATGGCCTAAATAATGGAGGGAAAGAAGGACATAACAATAAGTAAAGCATGTGGTTACATGATTAACTAGAAGGAATGGAGGAAAAGAATATGTGTAGTTAGAAAAAAGCAGCTGCCTTCTGTGTGTGTGTGTGTGTGTGTGTGTGTGTGTGTGTGTCTCTCTCTCTCTCTCTGTATTGTTCCCTGCCCCCCTTTTAAGGAAGAATCTTGATTCTCCCTATTCTGGTTTCTCAGGGACTCAAAAAAGAATATAAATAAAATACCTGGGATTTTCAGCAGTGTTCTAGAATAGTTCTCAATGGATACCAGAAAAGTCCAATAAAATTCATTTTTCCAACTACTGATATAAATGGGTGGAAGGTTATGAATTGTTCATTTTCCTCTCTATATAGATTTTTTCAAGCAAACCAGATTAGCAGTAAAAATTCTCCAAGAAACCAGGGTTCCTTCTCAGTAGTAGAACCAGCCATCTCCTAAGTGCAGTTCCCTGCAGCCAACAGCATTAATGGACGCTGCACTGCTGTCCTTCCCTGGAGACAGCAGCCAGCACTACTCAAGCTTCTCACGTAGCAACCAGAGCTCCAGAGCCAGCAGCTGCTGCTGCCTTGTATACTCACCCCTGAGATCCAACCCAAAGGAACAACCCTCTTCTCTCCTCACCCCACCCCCACTCCTTATACACTTTCCTTCCCATCAGTGCTCCTTGCCAAGCGGACTGGAATGATACTCTCAGAAAGAAACCATCCCAAAACGCTCCGTCTTTTAGTTATTATTAGAAGACCTTTATTAGAAAATCAAGATTTACCTAAGCCCAATTAAAAAGATTTTTTTAAAAACAAAATCAGTGTTGGAATAAAACTTTCAGAGCAACATTTTTAAAAGCATGTTAGCATCCTGAGTGTGTATTTGTTGCCCAAGTGACACTCTTGTACCATGTTCTACAAAAGGAAATCATAATTCATTCTTCTGCCCACAGTGACAGCCTGAGTAAAGCTTAAACACTCCAATCACATAATGGGCCAGAAACCTGGTAGGCAGCTATCTTCTAAATAAAACTGAAACAGCCTTATTTAAAAATTATTATTCCTGATTCTCCAAGGCCTGCAGACATCAGCCTATGAAGTTGCTACTACATACTATATTCTTAAAAGCTCAAATTTCACACGATTTTTAAAAAATCGCCATTTATAGCACTTTTCCTTTACTGAGATGCAAACATTAATCATTACAAAATTTAACAAATTTATTTATGGGATCAAAATTTTCACCAAGACACTTACCACCTAACTTGGCATCTGAGTTCCCAATCAACTGACTAAGATTTCTGAAACATTAACCCAACAAACAAGGATGGGGCTCTAGTGACACAGAGTGAATATGACCTTGCCCACAATTGTATGCCATTAAAAACAACTTGTTTCAGTCAAGCGCTGAAGGAAATCAAGGGAGAAGCTGGGGAGACACCCAGCCCTGTGAACACATTTCAAGTGAAAATGGAAGAGATGGACTAAAATATAAGGAAACCTCAAATGGGGGCCTGGAACTCTAGGCAAGAAATGAGTGATTAGCGAACACATTACACAAGTAATATGAGAAAGCAAAAATGCAGGTCAAACACGCACCCCCACCCCAGACCAGCAGGGCTGGCTGCAGCATCAGGACCCACGGGAGAGAGACCCCCCCCCCCCTCGGAGAGAAGTGAGATCGTCAAAGGAGCCAGAGAATAGATTAGCATAGAAAGGGGTTTCCCACAGTTAAACTTTCCGTCTCATCCTACAACCCTTTCAATTCTGATCTCTTCCACCACCGCGAACCACCCTGTTTCACATCTCGTTCACAACTCAGGGAAAAAGAATTCCTAAATCACATATTATTCTGCCTTAAAAAAAATAAGAAAAGAAGAGAAAAAACGTCCCTAAAATGATGGCCCTCCACGCCCAAGGCAGGAAAAACGACACGAGCTGGCTGCGCTCCAGCCTGGAATCCTACAAAACCCAAGCCCTCGGCTCCCTCCTCGGAGATGCGAGGAGCAGGCCGCGGGAAGTCCAGGAATGTGCACGGGGGGAGGGGTGGCGGAGGCACTGGCTTCCCTGTGGGAAAGGAAGCAGCCATCGGAGATGGGAGCCGACACACGGACGAGGGAAGGGCTCCCGGCTTGGGGCGGAGGGGAGCGCCCCCGGGGCCGGCAGCGGGGAGCAAGGCCCGGGCAAGCTCGGGGGACCCGCGGACCTCCCCAGAAGGGGAAGTGGGGGGAGGGGCGGGAAGGGTCCCAACCTGGCCCAGGAAGCATCCTAGGGCCGGGGTGCGCTCCAGGAAGGAGGGTTGCGGGGGTGGCGGGCGGCGAGAGAGGGAAGCATCCTTCGAGGCTTCCTGCGACGCGAGGCTCAGGCCTCGGGCCCCGAGGAGGGCAGGCCCGAGGATGGGGGAGGGGGTGGTGACCCCAAGCGATGCAGGCCTCTTTTCGTCAGACCCCTTACCTGTGTCCCTCCCAGGCGCGGGGGGCCCGGGCCGGGCCCGGGCTGCGGTGTGCGGCACTGCCGGGGAGAGCAGGACTCGAGCTAGGCCCAGCGCAGCGCCGCGGTGTTTCTTGGCCGGGGATGGCCCGAGCCTGTGAGGTGGGGGTGGGGGGTAGGGGCTGAAAGGCGGAGCGAACCGAGGGCGGGCGCGCGGGCGGAGAGGGGGGAAATACGGGAGGGAGTGTGGGCGGACTGGCGGGGCGGCTGCTGCTGCTGCTGCTGCTGCTGCTGCTGCGCGAGAGTCTGTGAGAAAGCTGGCGGGCGGAGGCCGCCCCTCCCCCAGCGGCGGCGGCAGCAGCGACGGCGGCGACGGCGGCGGCGGCGGCGGCGGCAGCTCACTCAGCCCGCTGCCCGAGCGGAAACGCCACTGACCGCACGGGGATCCCCGGCACTGGCGCCAGGGGCACCCGGGACACGCCCCCTCCCGCAGCTCCATTGGCCTTCACGTCCAGCGCTCCGCACCCATTGGTCGTGCGGCCGCCAATCAGGAGCAGCCGCTGGGGTCGCCCGCAGAAGAGGCTGTGCGCGGGGGCACCGGCTCGTCAGAGAGCCAGCTGCTAGGTAGGGGAGCGGAACTCTTCAGGGGGGTGGGGTTGGCTGCTGACGGGGGAGATGGGTGAAGCCATCAAAGGTGGTGGAGGTGGAAACCTTACTGTTTCGTTCAACGGAAACTGAAAGGCTGGGCCTGTCCGCTGCGCTGGAGGGGGAGGGAGAAGCAGAAGGGAGCGGATAAAGCAAGACCAGGACCCTGCCATGGCTCCCGCAGCGGGAGGAGCTCTTCTGGCCCGCCTCCTCTCGTTGATTGGGCGCTTCGCCTCCCGCCGTGTGTGAAAACACAAATGGCATTTGCTGGTTGGAGTGAAGCTCCTGTCAGTTACGGCCTCGAGAATACGCTGCTGCCTAGGCTATCGGACTGCCCCATGGGCGGGGTAGGTAGGTCGGGGAGGGGGAAGGGCGACCTAGAGTGGGACGTGAAGGTGCCTCCCGCTTCTCCCGCCCCGCTGCGGCTGGGAGGGGGTGGGCCTGGTGAGCGTGGGCCTGGAGAGCGTCTCGGGCGTCTCCGCCCTCTTCCGAAGAAGTTCGGTTACCCGCGGTCTGGGCGGTCGCGGGGTCTGATTGGGTCTCGGAGCTGGGAACCTGCTCGGCTATTGGCTCCGACTTGAGCGAGCGAAACCACTGCGTTCGAGGCGGGGGTCGGGGCAGGTCTATCTGCCCCGCGGCGCCCACGGTGGTAGGGTCTCAGCCCAGCGCCGCAGTGTCTGGCTCGTCGCCCCTGCGCGACGTGGCAGGAAGAGGGCCGCAGGGGCGCTGGGAGGAGGGGATTCTGGAGAAGACTCCTGGGTGGCGGCGGCGACCGCCGCTGTGGAGCCGGGGGAGAGAAGGCGGAGGGCGAGGAGGGCGCGGGCTCCTCCTCCATGCAGGGATCCCGCCGGCCCCTGAAAATCAAGCAGGTCTTCGCTACCCGAAGCCCCAGATTCCCAGGCCCTGACGTTCACGCTTGGCTTGAAGGGCGTGAAGGCCCCAGGTGGTGCAGTGCGGGTTTGGGAGGTGTGTGGGGGGGTGGAATCTAGTCCTTCTGCGGCCCTTCCAGATTGGGGGAATAAGGGAGTGGACGGGGCTGGCTTCAGAGGGGCCTGTTGTAGGGGGCCGCGACCTTTCAACCGAATCTCCACGATGTTCTGATGGGGAGGCGCCTCAGATGCGCTTTTTCAGGTTCCTGAGGACGTGGGATCTCGCAGAATCCAGACTGTACTGTACTCTCCATTTTCCGCTTCCTTTGTTAGATAAATACGTGCACATTAGCACTCAGGATAGGGCAGAGAATGGCCCGGGGTCTTCACCGTGAGTTAAGCCGGCATAAGTTTTAAAACTAACCCCGTAAGCTTATAGAATTGAGCAGGTACGTGTAAAGAGTGAAGAATGATGATAAGAAAAAGGATTCTTGTCTAAAATCCACTAAATAAGCCATACCCCTCCCTTTTAAATATTTTACCAAGTACCATAGTTTTATTTCCCCCAGTTTTTCAAGGAACAAAGGGTTCTGGAGGGATTGAGGAGGGGAACCATAAGGGACATCCCTTTTGTAATTAACTACCGAATTCTCCTAAGTCACCTCGGTACCCCTGCCCCCACCCTCTCTCCCCATAGGCACGTCCCTCACTGCCATTTTCCTGAAGCTAGAATGTACGTGTATTTCCTCTGGCACTTGTCAGACGGGCACACCTTAAAAAGACACCATTTTGAAAATCTAGTGTATCCTCCCCACCCCCATCAGGTGACCCAATAGTCATCCTAGACCCCTTTCATTACCTTGGGACATAAAGAGTGCCAAAAAGCTTTCTACAGGGGGCTAAACTTGTCTATTAATCTTCGCTGTTGTTTCTGTACCTGTGCTGCTGCTAATGTAATTTTTCTTGCTGCAGTTCCAGAATCTCAAAATGGCTTCCCACCGTCATTTGTTTTAGAACAGATTTCCTTAATTCCCAAGACCTAAGAAGAAACAATGCATGAGGTGCCGCCTGGATCCAGAAGACCAGGCTTGGAGTAAGGTCCAATATGACTTAGACTAGCTCTGTGATCATGACAAGTCAGTTGACCTCTCAGTTCCCCCATATAACTTAAAAACTGTAAATTACAGGTGATTGGCTTATCTGCATGGGTAGAACCAGTTTTCACCCCAGGAGTTCCCGTCACCTTTTTAGTCACAGGTGTGACTACTCCTTCCCCAACTTTCAGGTGCCCAGCACCATGCTCCCTCTGGCCTTTTTTCTCCTCAAAATTTCCTCATTCATTCCCTACATTTTTTATGTTAACTTTATTTACCATGATCCCTTTATCTGATTTTCCAAGTCTTATTTTTTAATTGATCTTTCTATATAATCGTGGCCTTCCCTTGGTATTTGGCAAGCCCTGTCCCCAAGGTGTCCTACTTCCTTCCCTAAAGTTTCCTAGATTGGATGGAAGATAAAGAGATATCTGGAATTGGCCAACATGTTTCACCCCTTAGAACAAAACTGAAAATGTTAAATAATAGTATGATTTACGACCAAATGTGAATAAAAATCAGTGAACACTGATTTACTAAAGTGAGCATATGTAAATCATGTAACATATAATATTACCCTTAAAATTTGAAATAAAATTAATAAAACTTGTGTCAACTTTAAAAAAAATTTAAGAAGAATTATATCTTCCTTCAGGAGACATGGTCCTACTTACAATAAGACTGCTTGTTCAACTGGAGAAGAACTTCTACCTTAAGTTTTTGGGAAAGAGCTATGGAAATTGCTTGTCTTCTTAAATGAATTCCTTTCTTTCTGACTCCTGTTGAATTTGGTTAAAATTTCATTTTAAAATCTTCTAAGAATTAGAAAATAGTGACATGCTATATAATAGCATCATTATAGTTTGATATTTATTGCTTTTATCCGAAGGCCTTTGGAAATGTATTAATGCAGCCTTAATTTTTTTTCTGTTGTCTAGACAAACTCATAAATGACCCAGATATCAACTGAAAACAGGTCTAGATAAATCTGGTGTGATTTTGTTTTGCATGTAGGCATGTTCAGTAGCTATTTGATATGTCACTAATTTAATTTCAAGTGAAGTATTATACCTAAGCAGGTACTGCTTGTTTATGGCACTCCCATTTATCTTCTGTTCTTGTGAAAAGTTTTGCTACAAAAATCTACGAAACAAGATCAGGCTATTTATGGTTCGGGCTTAGGTTAAGCTTATTGCTCTGTTAGCAATAATGGAAAAAACCACAGCTGTCCTTTTCACTCTTCCTTTAGTGTTCCCATAGCACTCCTTTGCAGGTTCCCTTTTTAATAGGCCTTTACAAAAAATAAATCTGCCATCTAGGCTTTTAGAGTAGTGGCTGGGTTATTTGTAGCTGAAGGGAGGTATGTAGGTTCATCAGAATTACTGTAAAGTCCAACCAGGTCACCTCATCCCAGCCTATCCAAAGCAGCAGGTAGCAGCAGTATCTGAATCTTAAACCTCATTCCCCAGAAAAGCTGCACTTAGGTAATCACACAGTCTTACATATCTAGATTTTTTCTTAGCTCCTTGGGCTTCTGCCCCAATGCCACCTAACAGTACTGATCTTATTCTCATCCAACATTTTTCTATCCTCTATGTGGACAGCTTTACCAGCAGCCTCTTTGCAGTGGACAGTGTGTCTTTGGGTATGGTCTTAGTAGTACCTTCGGTTAGTCTCTGCTTGCCACTTTCTGCAGCAAGCTTTCCCATCAAATGCTGCCATGAGAACTATCTCCCTCCCCAGCAACTGCACAGGCCTCCCTCCTCACAGTTCCCTTAGTCTGCTGTCTACCCATAGAGTGAGGGGCTGTTGTCCATGGCAAGAACATTAGATTTTAATTCAGAGGGCATAGCTTTATATCCTGGCTCTGATCCTTGTTCCCCATGTGGACTTGGATAAACCTTTGGACCTCTCTGGACCGCATCCTCATCTTTAAAATGACAGTTGAACTAAATGGTCTCTGAGGTTCCTTCCAGCTTTAAATCTATTATCCTATGATCCAGAGTCTTGGGATTAAAATCACCTATTACATATTTTTAAGAAACACTAAAAAATTAAAGGAAATAAGGTCCCTTTCCAAAGAAGCTTACAATCTAACAGAGATAAAGCATGCATGAAATAGGATTGTAATGCAAATTAGAATGTTTTGATCAGATAATTATAATGTCCCTTCCAGAACTATAATTTCATTATCAATGGAGGATGTTTGGCGTTATAATTAAGTGTTGCCTATCATCAAACTGAAAGACAAATTATTCAGGAATTCTCGGGGATTAACTATGGGTATGACTTGGGGAAGGTGGTTTCTGGTCAATCTGTGGTACTGTACTATGTGATTACCAGTTTCTGTCCCTCAGCTTGGCAGGTTTTATAAAGTCAGTACACAAAACTCCTGGGTTCTGGTGAACTTATCACCAACCTGAATGCCAGAACCTTGGTGGCTAAATAGCACTGTTAAATAGGGGAATAAATTCAGAAAGCAGATTGGTTTGAAGGCTAAGATGGAGTTTGGCTTTAAACATGTTGTATTGAGAGTATGCTGGGTTCCATAAGTAAAAATATCCAGCAACAAATGGTAAAATAAGGACTGGAGCTTGGGAGAAGGGATCTTAATGAAGATCTTTTGTGTTTTCTGAAAAATGTATGAATTGAATATGGCAAACAGTCTGAAAAAAGTGATGGGTGAGGGCTGGTTGTAAAGTCTAATACTCAGCAAGAACAGTGGCAGATGTAGTCCATAACCACCTACAATTCCATCATTTGGAAAAAAGACTTATGGAGGATGTATACTCTTCCTACTTGTGATTGTCTTTTAAGTTATGGTGGCTTAAATACAAGACATTGCTCCTATTATATATCATAAAACTAAACTAGATGAATTTTTTTTTATTGTAAAATTGCTTTCTATACTGTCTTTTGCCGT